GGGCCACATGAAATACCAGAACAAGAACCATGACCTACAACCGTCAGGCCCATGGTTCTAAGTTTTATGTCATTATAGGCATTTTGGGAGCTTGGGTAGCATAGTACCTAAGGCATTTAACTGTTAACCAGAAGGCTGGTGGTTCAAACCCACCAGCCACTCCTTGGAAGGGAGACTGGGCAGTCTACTTCTGTAGAGGTACTGCCTTGGAAACTCAAGGATGAGTCGCTATGAGTTGGAATCGACTTGGTGGCAGTGAGTTTGGTTTTTTGGTTTATGGGCATTTTAGAAAATTATTTTTTCTTTTTGAAAGAATATTTTTTACTGAACACCTGCTGTTATTAAGATGATTCAATTGTTCCTCAGGTTGTTCTTATTAATATATGACAAACAAGATTACCACATGAGCTGATGTGATTCCAGCATTGGCACTTACACCCTGGTTATCCTGTTAGCCTTACTGAAGGTGAATGTATCACATGTTAAGCAGGGCTTTGGACCAGTTCTTGCTGGTTCAGTCATGAATGATGAAGAGGTACCAGGATGGACTCGAAGTAATAAGATACAAGTGAACTGTAATGCTAACTGGAACAGGAAAAATTACAGATTGATGCTCTGCTAAAAACTTAATCTCCCTTTTGGAAAACAAGGACAGCATGCACATTGCATAGCAACCAAATCTTTTGATTGGCAGAGTTGGAAACAATGGTGGCTGGCTCAAAGATGGTGACCAGAAGCACTGCTTTGAATGTGTGCTGTTCTCCACAGTCATGGCAACAATCCAGTCTGCTATATCAGGCTTCTTGCAAGAGCTCACTACACCTCTTCTGAGTCTCCCATTCCAGGGCTTCAACCCACATTTTTTCTCATTCTGGTTATCACTCCACTTCACCCAAATTTTAAAAATTTGACTCTGTTCCAATTTCACTACATTGTCCAGGATTGAACCCGTTAGAAGCGGTTCAAGGTCCTGGTGTTAAGGTCTTCTGAAATCTTAGCTCCACCTGAGAGCTCTCTGGACACTTCAGTGGCCAGGGGCCAGAGCAAGTCCCTTCCTGTTTGCCCAGGGAGGTAGCCATGCACTGCCAGGCCACTCCAGGGCAGCCTGTGGATCTCTCTGAGGTTTCTATGACACAGCCTTGGGGTGCGCGTGGCTCTTCTGTTTGCATTTCAATTTCAAGCCTTTTTTCTTGCTGGCTTCCGCCGTCTTTGAAAATAAACTCCTCTTTGTGCTGCTGAGAAAAGAGGTACCCTGGGGGTTTCTCACCAATCCCTTTGGCTCCTTTCCCATACCCTGGCCTTAGGAAGCAGCTCTCTTGCTCTTTCACACTGCCAAGTGCAATGCCTTGCAACTTGGAGGGCAGATGCCATTCCATGTGACTTACTGCCTGATTTGTAAATCAATTCTACTTTTTTGTGTGTGTGCATCTGTGTTTTCTATCGCTCTGGCCACAGAATGTTCTGATCCAGCTTCATAAAGATAGATTTGCAAGGATTGGAAGGAACAGCCCTAGGCTGCCTGGCCTCTTCTCCTACCTACTGGGTAGGATTTCATCTGAGAGGGGTCCTGTTTGTTTGTCCTTTTTAACAGGAGAAGCTGACTCCAGGGTCCTTTGGCCACACAGTGTGGCCCCTTTCTCTCTAGCAGCATCCCCCTTCACCCCCCTGCCCTCACCGCCCTACTTGTGAACAATCAGAAACACCTTTTCATTGTCTTAAACTTTAGACTTGTACTTTTGTGCAATTAGGAATTTTTAAAAATTTTTGTTTTTTCATTGTATGTGAAAATACATATAACATGTTTGCCAATTTAACACTTCCCATGTGTCCAATTTAGTGTCATCAATTTCATTAGTCATGTTGTGCAACCATCACCAATATCTGTTGCCAAATATTCCTTCACCATAAACAGAAGCTCAATGCTTCCTAAACAGTGACTCCCCCTTCCCTCTTCCCTCCTGCTCTTGGCAACAACGAACAATTAGAGATTTTCCAGTGTTCTTTTGGCTCAAATTTCCCATCGGCTGACCTTTGAACCTAGATTTGGTTTCCCACCTTTGTCCTGAGTCTCACCACTTCTTCACAGGCCCACTGGCTCAGGTGCCCGGTATCTCCCCCTAGGTTCCTGCTGCAGACTTTTCATTGGCTTCTCTACCTCTCTGATCTTTCCCAGTCTTCCATCCTAGCGATGTACCAGTGTGATGATTGTAAAATAAAAATGTGATCATTTCATTTGTCTGCTTATATACCCTTCCATGGCTCCAGTTGTCCCAAGAATAGAGGCTGACTTTCTGGGTACATGGTGGTTTACCCCAGCTGTGTCTCCAGCTTTCCCTTTCATCACCAGCACTGGCCAATCCAGTGGTCCTATCAGCATCAACTCACCAACCTGGAATGAGCCCCTTTCTCTCTTACCCCTGAATCCTGTACCTGGTATTCCACTTGTCTGAGGTATGCTATCTGTCTCTTTGGCTGGCCCATTCCTCCTGAATCTGTTTCACCCAAGCAGGCTTTACTAGTCTTGTCCCACTTGCCATTCTGGCTTGAGGGACCCTTCTGCCTCCTCTGACACCAGCCAGTTAGCCCCTGTCCTCCCCCTTATCATGTTTATTATCACGATCTGTGGCTTAGTCCTTTGTATCCGGGCACCCAGCACAGTGCCTGGCAGAGTAGGGGTTCATTTCACATCTGATGCATAAAAGGATAGATGAAAAGCCCTTCAAGGCTGTGCATGGACTCTGAAAGTCCCAATCAGTTCACCATTATTTTGGGGATAGCACAGGGCTCCTAAAGATCCCTGGGGGGTGCGGTGGTTAAGCACTCAGCTGTTAACCGAAAGGTTGGCAGTTTCAACCCACCAGCTGCTTCATGGAAAAAGGATGAGGCAGTCTGCTTCCTTAAAAATTTACAACATTGGAAACCCTAAAAGGCAGTTCTGTTCTATCCTATAGGGTTTCTATGAGTCACAATCGACTCAGTGTCAGTGTGTGGGTGGCAGGGTTTAAGGCTATATTAACGATTGTGGCCTCTGTCTTCTTGTTCTCTTCTTGCTCTGCCTACACAACCACTGGCCAGCCATGCTCCCTGGGCCAGCAAACTGGCCTTCAACACACAGAAGAGAACCAATGACTTTCTTCCTTTATTTCTATGCTTCAGTTGAAAGGATACAACCACTCAAGTTTGAAGTCTTTCCTCCATGTTGTGTGTGTGTATGTTACTTTCAGTAAATAATATATTAAGCTGTGCTTCTGTGAAAAATGGGGAAAGGTCTGAGACAGTAATGACTTAGGAACAGGCACCTGATCGCGAACCAGGAATCCCATCAAGTTCTTGGTTGAAGTGGTCTTTCATTGTTGGCCTGCCTTCCAATGGCTGAGAACAGGTCCTGAAGCTGGAGCTGGAAGCATGGGGACAAGTCATCACCTGGGGGCCTGTCACACTTAATCCAGTGCCTAATGCAAAGGGCAAAGCTTGGGCACCTGCATGCCCAGTGATTGTGGATCTGTTGAATGAGTAAGTAAAGGATTGACTCACATGCCGTAAGACAGACCTTCTACCTTTATGAGCATTGTTAGTGCCCATTAACCAAACTCTAAACTCACTGCCATCGAGTTGATTCCGACTTATAGTGACCCCTCCTTGGGTTTCTGAGGGGATATTGCTATGGAAGTAGATTGCCCAACCTTCCTTCTGCAGAGTGGCTGGTGGGTTTGAACCACCAGCCTTCTGGTTAGCAGTCAAATGCCTTAGGCACTACGCCACCAGAGCAAATAAAATGTGTACTAAGACCCATGTTGCCCATGTTGCATGCACATACCAACCTTTGCCACATTTTTATGGTAACCCATGCTTAAGGAGACAAATTATTAAATAGAAGCTTAAAGAGAGCCCAGCTTCATGACTTTACTTATTATTTTTGCTTAGTAAGGGCATAACTGTTAAATTTTTACCTATAAATTAGATACCTTAGCTGGACTCTCAAATAAGGACATGTTTAAGGAATCATGTCCTTTTTTTTTTAAAAAAAAAAAAAAAAAACTTACCATTTTTTAAAAAAGTTTTTATTTTGGAAAGTTTCACATCTATACAATGTAGAGATAAAAATATAAAGAACCCTCTCCTATTTATCCTCCAGCTTCAATAACTAGGGGAAGTCATGTTTCATCCATACCTTCACCCACCTCCCCCAATGGATTATTTTTAAGGAAATCCCAGGCATTCTATTGTTTTTGTCTATAAATATTTCAGTATCTCTAAAAGATACACCTTTTTTCAAAGACTAGCTTTGCCTTTCCTGAAGTTTACATAAATAGATTCATGTAGAATATACTCTTTTGTGTCTGGCTTTCTTTTACTGAATATAAGGTTTGTGAGATTCATTCATATAATTGCAGAATCCAAGAGTTCATTTTATTGTTGAAGGAAGATGGGGCAATCTACTTTCGTAGTGATACTGCCTCAGAAACCCAAGGAGGGGTCGCTATGAGTCAGGTCCAACTCGACGGCACATAACAACAACAACAATTATTCTATTTATTAATACAAAAACATTAACTCTTTTTAAAAACATAATAGCAATGCCATTTGTGCACCTAAATACATTGACAAGCATTCTTTACTATCATCAGTGTTTAAATTTTCCCAGTTGTTTCATATGTGGTGGGTTTTGTTTGCTTAGAGTTGGCTTGTTCAAATCAGGGTAAGAAAATATTGCTAATACTTCTGTTTTTATACTTCTTATGTTTGAAAGATTACTTCTTTCTTGTTCAGAGTACATGCTATATGTTAAGAATGACCACTTCTCTTATATTTATCAGAGTGCCTGGGTATTTTCTTCAAACATAATTTAGCATATATAAGAAACAGATTCTACATGGATGAGGTAGGGTTGGGGGCTGATGTGTCTCCCTATGCCACTATGAGTTAGGTAAGGCCAAGGGATCTAAAATGTGTCAATAAATGACTCTTTACTTTGCTTGTCTTTTTCACCTGTGTTACAGAATTCTGCTTCCTCCAAGGAAAGGATGGTGGCTTTGAGCATGAGAGAAGTGACTCCATCTACTTAGACCCCACAGTCTTTAGAATGTTTTTCAATGCAGACTTGCCAGACTCCAGGCATGGATTATCTTCGTCGACTGGGCTATTAAGTGCTTTAAAACAAGGTATTGCCAGCAGTAGGGGCGTGGTGAGTGAATGGCTATTTGAGCATTGTACCTCAAGAGGTGGTGTGGCCTTCAGGATCAACATTTCCCCATTTTAGTAAGGATTCTCAGTGGAAAATATTGGAAAACGAGAGGATGGTGCCTCTAAGAGGTCTGGTCCACTCAGTGGGATTTACCTTGCTTAGGATCCTAGGGGTACCTCACATGTGGACACCATGTTTTGAGGAAAAAGTTGGGGGTGGATAAAACCAAACCTGAGCTGATTTCCAATCATGGTGACCCTGTGCATTACAGAGTACAACTGTTCTATGGGGTTTTCTTGACTGTAATCTTTACAGAAGCAGATCACCAGAACTGCCTTCAGAGGCACTGCTAGGTGGGCTTGAACTGCCAACCTTTAGCTTAGTAGCCGAGTGAAAACCATTTGTGCCACCATCTACCCTTCATGGGCTGGGGGTGGGGGTGGGGGAGATTGAGGAGTGAAGGAGCCAGGGGCCTGGCATTTTTATTTTGTTTTAACTGTAGATGCTCTGAGGACTACTAAGAATAGCTAGTCAGCAGCAAGGACAGTGAATCCAAGTTTTCCTATTTCATTATATTCCAGGCTTCAATGCCAAGACAAATAACGCTCCGTGAGTGTTGCCCCGTGCTCTCACAGAGGCTCTTTATCCACATGGCATGAAGACATGTGGTGCCATGGGGTCCAAAGAGGAAGAGGAACAGTATCTGAGACATGCCTGCAGTGGTTCTTTGCTGCTTACCACATCTTGTGTTTTATTTATTTATTTATTTTTGGCTTTTTATTTTATTTTATTTTTTTAATTTTATTTTGATTTGGGTGAAGATTTACAGAGCAAATTCACTTTTCATACAGCAGTTCACATATACTTTGTC